ATGAGAATGGTAACACAGTGGGAATAGGAACTTGGGAGTTTGTTTTATCCATGCACAACAGTGACCACAACAGTGCATGAAACAGGGTGGGCCCACAATAAATATCTCACGAAACGTTAAAAATTCCTGAAAAACCAACTACCTCACATATCACAAAGCTGTCAAAACCTTTCTAATTAAAAAAACTATGCTGGTAATACAGTTTTTATTTCTTTCTTTGTGCTCAAATGGGAAATATACATATGGGAATATGTGTATACATATACTTTCACACACTATTAAAAGACCTTTCTGTAGTATTTTTAAAAGACGCATTGCTTTAGTTCATTTGCTGCATATTATTAAAGCATGGGCAATGGTGCAGCTCTCCTGTTTTGTCTTCCATGTAACTAACCACAGGGATGTTTTCAAAGAAAACAAAGCCACAGACACCAGTAGGGTTAGTAGTCCAATCCTCACTCAGACATTAATCAGCTGCATAACCAACAGGCAAGTTACTTAAACTTCCTTAGTCTTGATTTTATCTGTAAATAGTGATAATGCTATCCACTGTCCTAAGGCTGTTGAAATTATTAAATGCAGGCTTATACTGCACTAGTACACACTGAGGAAGCCATTCCCATATTAGTTTTTAAATATCCAGTGCATGAAGTCTCATGGTTCCCAGCCTGCTGCTCTGGTCCCTTCACTGGGTCCCACATATTTCCCAAAATTCAATAGCCAAAAGTTGGTTTTACTCTTAGTACATCAAGCTTTCAGGCCTGCTGCAGGACAGTGCTCTGCATCACTGGTGCCCATTCACTACTAGTGATTAGATATTTAGAATCTCACCTTGATAAAATGAAGCAAATGTAAAGCACCCTGCACGCTGCACAGTCAGTGCCCAGAGTTACCGATCCTGATGCCTCCAACATGAGGTGACATGCAGCTGATCTAACAGCTCTTGGACATTTCTATCACATCCTAGATCAATGCATTTAAGTAACGAATTTGTGTTTGACAGAAAAACAGAAAAGATTAGAACTGAATACAAATAATGGTTTCTAATTGTGGCAGAAACAAAAATGTTTTAAATGTTGATTTAAGTCTCATGAGTTTTAAATTAATCCAGAAACAGAACAGCAATAATAAACTATGCTTCCCTATGTGATCATCAGAAAACAAAAAATCTGTCCCAAATTTTCTCTGTTCCTGCTTCCATATGAAAGCTCCCCTTATCTCCATTAGGAGCACTAGGGATTACCCTTCTCTATAATTAGCTTGCTTATGAAACCACCTGAAGAAAGCCCTGGCATAATATACAGACAGAAAAACAACTATCAGCTGACAAAAATTAACAGTGCTTATTCTTTTGTAAGGAATGTACAATCCTTTGTATGCTTCCAAAACAAGCCAGTGTCAGAGTTAGAAAGTTTTTTTTTTTAATGACCTTTACCCTCCAGAGTTCCCAATCACTTCTTCCTTGCCTTTACAGTGTAAGGTCCATAAGATATTCATCCATTCCTATATCTCACCATAATGTTTTCAGCCCTTCATTTTCCTGCTGCTTCAAAGAGATACTCAAATACATACTTTAAAAAGGAACTTCAAATATTCAAACATTCCAATACTTATGCTCCTCATGGTTTTTCAAAGTTCAAGTCACAAGAATAAAATTTTCAAAAATGTCATTATGTCACTCATAAACATCCACACTTCTGTGAGATGAACCACGAGTTCACCACACCAAGAAATAAACATCATAGTTTTCATCTAACAAAGCTGGTCAAGAACTGAATTTGTGACACCTTACAGAAATCCAGCTTTTATACAGCTCCACCAGTGAATGACACCAACACTGGCACGTGTTATCTAAGCGAGAGTGGCAGTAGCCTTAGAAAAAGAAATCGCTCATGAAGGCAGACTTCTAAAGGAAGTGCCAAGCCTCATCAGTTATGCTCAGTCTGAGCACTAAAATCTTGACTCTAACAACGAAGAAGAAGGCTCTAGAGCTATGTGGGCCAATAAAATTTTAAATTCAGTTCCTCAGCAGCATTAGCCACATTTCAAGTACTTAAAAGCCACATGTAACTAAACTTGGGCTTTATACAGACTCTATAATACAAAAAGACAAAAACGATGCTGACAGTATAAACTATAATCTTGAGTTAAGGTGAATTCTCATGAGTTTTAAATGATGGCAATCAATTAAAAATTTAAAGGATATCAATAAAAACACTGTGTGGAGACCACAGGAGATCAGGGAGAAATGATAGCTAAACAAATTATTTTGCACTGGGTCGTAGAACAGAAAAGTTAACAGAAGAAACAGTAAAATCGAAATACCGTCTGGAGTTCAGTAATACCAATCAACTCATGTCAGTTTCTTAGTTTTGACAAAACTACCACGGAAGTGTAAGAAGCGAATAATGGGGAACTGGGTGAGGTATATATGAGAACTCTCTGTACTATTTTTCAACTTTTCGGTAAATCATAAATTATTCCAAAATTAAGCTTAGCAAAAATCAACTGTGTGAGCCAAACCCGTATTACAAGACTTCAATTTGTAATCTAATCACTGCAAACCCCAAACCATAAACACCATACAGATATTATACGTACCACGAAAACAGATACACTTTCATGAATCAGAGTGTGACCAAGTATGAAAGCAGCTACCATCCAAAGGATAAAGTGAGTAAAACAGCTGGCAAAACAACAAAGTATTCTGAAATGACCTTCATACACTCAGCCCAACATTCTCAGAATTGTGGGAAAAAGTTTCTTAAAAAAGATTCAAATATGTTCATGTCTCGTGTATGGATGTAAAAGAAATGACTTCTGTTTGGAAAGGATATAAACAGCAGGCACTCAAAGATCAAGCTTAAAGAAACAAATATCCATGGACCAGTCAAAAATCTAAGGTTAGAATATAAATTTGTGCCCCAAGTTTAATACATCTTAAGAAACCAGAAAGGGAAGGATCAATGGCAGTTGGAGGGATCCATCAGAAAATAAGTTCTGAGAGGTTTAGAAAAGCTGAAAGGCATCCTTGGCTGAGAAATGGGATCAAAAAGAAATAGAAACAGGAATGAACATAAAAAGATAAGAAGGATCTGAAAAATATGAAGTAGTGATGGGAAACAAGCTGGTTAGAGAGGTCGGATTAAAGAGGGCCTTTAAGTCAATCAGGTGGTTTCGAAGCAAAGCAACAAACACAACTCAACATTCCTATCCAAGGGAGTGGTGCGATAAAAGTGGAATTTTAAGAAAACTAATTTGGTCATGTTCTTACTAAAAAAAAAAAATTTTTTTTTCTTGTGGCCACATTGTGAGGCTTGTGAGATCTTGGTTCCTTGACCAAGGATGGAACCCGTGGCCCCTGCAGTGGAAGCACAGAGTCCTATCCACTGGACCGTCAGGGAATTCCCCATGTTAATTAATTAATTTGGCAATGCTACTCCCTACATCATTCCACATCCCTGTAACTGAGACATCAGGTTCAAGGCCACAACATCACCTTCGGCTCTCTTCTGCTCTCACCAGCTGCCAACGCTCTCAACTGTACCTCACACATCGCTCATCCATCCCCCACCTCTACTGCCAAGACCTCAGTTCAAATCCCCATTTCTGTCTCATTCCTTCTCTGCTCTCTTTGGAACTGCTTCTATTTGGTGACACTAGACACAAATGACAAAGAAATATTCCTAAAGCACAGCTTATGACCATGACCTTCACATGGAAAAATCAGCACGAAGTCTTCCGGTCCCCCCCCACCTCCGTGCCTACATTCTGCCGTCTCCCTTTAGCATTCCTGTACTCATTCTCTTACTATTCCCTCTTCTTGCTCACCCGCCTCTTCTGCCCAGGGTCTTCTGTTGGCACCATCTTTCAAATCCCTGCCCATATTTCAACCAAACTTTCCATGTAAATGACTGATGGATTTACAAGAAGAATGAAAAAACAAATGGTGATGTCACCCTCTTCTTAAGCTTTTCCTTCAGTGGCTCCTTTAGTACATTTAGCATACAGGGCCCTCTTTGGCCCCTACCAACCTCCGTCAGGAAAATCCTTTAACCTTGCCCACTCAGCACTGGGTACTTACTTAGCGCTCCTGGGATACCACTAGCACACACTAACATCACGTTATTTCTTGCCTCTATCTCTTCAATGATGCTGATCCCTCTGCCATGTCATCATTTTCCTTGACTGGCTATCTCATCTTTAAAGACTCACAAGCTCAAAAAAGGTGTTCCTTAACTGTTGCCGTTCCCTCTCAAACAACTGCATCTAAAAATGGGACCTTAACCAACTCCTTACAGAAACCTCTAATAGAAACAGGCAGTTCTGAGTTCAGATATTGGTCAAATGCAGAGATTTTACTTTTGGTATTAGCTTAAGTAAAAATTCACAATCTCTAGGCCCAGTAAGTTCAGCATCAGACAGCCGTACACCTTTCACTAATTTCTAGGAGGGTGAAGAAATTTTGATTCAGGATCTGAGAGGAATAAGGTTCCTGTTTCCTCACCACCCTGATGTCTTTTGCTTGGCATGTACTGGGGGCTGTTCAACCTCACCATAAGGTTAGCAATCTAATATTCTCAGAGGTAACATAGAATGTTACCTCTGCCTACAGGGAGGAGTGGGAGACAGCAGTATACAGAGAAAAAGGAACAACGCCCTAGAGGTAGCTCCAGACAAGACGACTTTTAGATGGAGGACCAGAGGAAAGGTAGGTGTGTTCAAACACTCAAATCCAGGGAGTATGTTAGTAAGTGGTGTTTAAGGAGATAGTTGAAAGGTAGGCCTTAAGACAGTGTATTTTTAAAGTGGTAATATATACTACAATAACCCATAAACCCCAAAAGGCGACTCCAAGGTGATGTCACTGCAGAAGTCTGCCCCCACCCCTCTGTTCCTTTCACGCTCTTCTCTCTCCCATCCTGGAGATGAATAAAAATGCATATCAACAACCTTGCTTTAATGAAAAAAATAATAAAAAATAGCTTTAAACAACGTACCTTTGATTTTTTGTTCAGTGGCCTAAAATAAAAACAAACAAACAAAAAACAATGTAAATATGAAACTGAAAGAAATGGATTGTTATGATAAAATGTTCATACATTACTATTACATAAGACATATACACTTTTATTAAATAAGGAATTCGTCATTTAGATGAACTGCATAGGAAAAGATATGCAAAGAAAGCATGCTTTTCCCACAGATGTGCCCCATTGTCCCTGACACAATGTTTATTAATTTAAAAAAATTCTCAAAATGTTTTAGGTACAAAGTGGAGAAGACACCATTGTATGACAGTATATAATAAAAAATGGAACTGCACTTCTCTCATCATTTGGTTTTAAAATTATTTTTATACAACTGTCACCATTACCTTTAATGGATCTACTGAATTCTGCACGTGTTTAAAAGGCTTCAAATTTTCTTATTTCAAATGACAAAAGACAAATCATGTTTTCTGGAAGAAAAGCTGCATATAACTTCTTTGGCCAAACTAGTACAAATTTATCTCCTGGAAGTTAGGCTGCTGCAGTTAAACATAGCTAACTTTTAGGTATTTTGGGGTGGGAAAAATTTTGAAATATATTTGTCTCTTCCTACACATCTGACAATTAAATTCAAATAACTGTGTTCTGAAGCTAAACTGCTGTGGGCCCTGCTTCCCATGCCTGCCCCTACTTGCACTGTGGCTGATACAACACGGGGAGGGGCTTGAGCACAGGAGGACTGCCCAAAGGTGCCTGGCTCAAACTTCAAGGGCCTCGATAAGAACTGATTACAAAGGCCACAAGAGAAAATCAAGTTTTTGATTATGCCCAACTGCGTAGGAATCCTAAAAAAAAAAAAAAAGATACAAGGATCGGCAGATAGGCAGGGAGGCAGGGAGGTGAGGGAAGACTGAATAATTAGTTACTGAATAATCAGGAATTGTTTCTAAATGAAGATAAGCATTTTTTTTAAACTGTCATAGGACAGGATAAATCATTTTGCTTAATCACAGTAAACTGTTGCCAAAAACACCATTTAAAAAATTATATCATTGTGGAACTACATGGTAAAACACTGTATGGCAATTACTATAATACTGAAGCCATACCAAACATGAACCTTTGCCTAGAAAGGCAGAGTAAATCAAGGCACTTAAATGCTTTACCAAGTTTTAGAGGACTAGTAACAAGTACAATAATGGAGGCCCATCTTTACTTTATATGGATTTAAAATTTAAAAGAAAAAAAAAATTGATGGAAGGACAATGGCAAAAGACCAGTCAACTAGCTTAAACATTTATTTCTGGGAGAAATTGTTTTTAAAATCTGGCTGTAGAAAAATAGAACTCAGTACCTGAATACTTTCAAGTGTTATAAATATCATGCCAAACAATAAGATAACATAATTTTCTGAAACAAAATCTACACAGAAATTATCCTGCATTGAAAACAGACTTTGTGTGCTGTTTTGTGGGGATTTCTATCTTTTTGTTTAACTCTCCTGGTTTCTTCCACGGCTTATTTCCAAAGGAAACCAGGCTACAGTACAGAGAAACCATGGCCATATTACTAAATCTCAAGACATGCAGTATTGCTCTTCTAGGCCTTACAACGTAAAAGATATCTACTATGCCAGCTCCTTTGGGGGAAAAAACCTCCACGTTGCTTGAGAACAGTGGTTAACCTCATCCAAGTATTGTGTCATCTACAGACAACACCACCAAGGAGACACTCAAAGGAGTCTGCCCATCAGAACACCAACTAATATAGTGAAAGAATGTTAGTTACCAGAACCCAAGAGAGCTCCTTATGAGGAGCAAATGGAATGATTCAAACAGGTTTTTGTGCTGAGTTGGTCCAGGGACCCTGCATATTACACAAACTATTAAAAAGAAAGTTTTCCAAGTGGGGGTCAGTGATTTTAAGAGTATTTGTCTGCAGTGGTCAAAATGAGGCCACTATCCCCATGTGGTTACTGACCACTGAGATAGAGTTAGTGTGAGCATTTTTTTAAAAGGCAAATTATCCCGTTGATAATATTTTATACTGATTACAAGTTAAAATAGCAATATTTTGGATCTACTGGGTTATATAATATATACTAAAATTAACTTCAGCAATTTTTTTGTTTTTACTTTGAAATGACCTTGTCATTCAAATGACATTTACGTCATTTAAACCTACGTCTCAGTTTCCCAATCCCTCAAATGGAGGAGGAGGGGGAAAAAAAAAAAACTGTACTGCTTACCTTTCCAGGGCTCTCATGAGGCTCAAGTAAAATATAAACCTTTTCTGGATAAATAATACTATTCAACGTGAAGTATCATTGTGGATCTTGTACAACAGAACTAAAGGATTCAGCAAACTGAGAAGCAAAAGTATTTCTACTTTGAATACGGGTTTTCTTAAACAAACAAACAAACAAACCTGAGCTGCGACTCCACAGCAATTAGCACCACTGTCTCAGTATACCAGTGAAGACAAGTGGCAGACACGCCAGGTCCATGCCTGCTGTTGTTTCTGTCAGGCTCTGCACAACTCGACCCAGCTCCTCAACCCTTAAGTACGCCTCAGCGGTTAAGAACTCAGGGTCTGAAGCCCAACGGCCTCATTTTCACTCCTGGCTTCACTGTGAACAGTGTAACGTTGGTCAAAAATTGGTTAACTTCTCTAAAGCTTGGTTTCCTCATCTCTAAGACAGGAATAAAACACCTACCTCAGACTTGCTAGGCTAAAAGGACTGAACTCACATCAAGAGCTTAGGGGGAAGAGCGAGCGCGCACTTGGGGCCACGTCAAGCAGACAGAAAGCATTCAGTAAACAGGACCGAGTATGGCTACCATCAGCCCTACTCACCCAGGCTCTGGCTCCGTGCTCTCACACTGGGAAGGGATCGGACTCAAACCCACTCCCAGCTCCCAGGTCTTGCTTTTTTCCCTTTCAAATCATCTAAAATGTCTTAACAGTGCCAGGTAAGATTCCCAGTCTCAGAACAAAATGACCTTTGGGAGACAGGACTAGTAAATACTAAAATTTCCAAAACGGAGGAATGAAATTGGAAGTTTCCTACAATCTACTTCTCATTTAAACTCAAAATGAGCACATTAAATCCACAAAGCCTTTTATAAAAATCCCTTTGAGCTTTTAACACGGTAACAAAAACACTCAAGAATACTGACTTCTACACATTCTCAACCAAAACATCCCAATTTGCCTTGGTGCTTCTCTCCTCCAACCCTCAACCATTATATGCTTTCTAGGAACTATAATTACATGTTTAAAGTAAAGTTGATACTAAATTATCCCTCTGTAATTAACCTGTTTCTCATCCTCCTTTTTCTTCCTCACTACATTTCCCTCAAGATTCCTTCTAGAAATTTCTTCTAAAACCAGAAACGAGAGAAATTCATCCTAACAACCTATTGCTACTATTGTTGCCCTTTTCTCAAGTACAGAAACTACATTCTTGTGCTGTATTAAATTATTTTCTGAGCCTAGAATCAGAAGATAAGCAAACAGCCATAATTCTTTGATGTGAAATAGAAGGCTTAAAAAAAAAAATCATCTGGTCATTGATTTCTGTTATTAACTAGAGATGTACTGGGACTGAAATATCATAAAAACCACGCAATTTTGTGTAAAAAAATTTTATAGAGGAATTTAAAATATTTAAATTGATAACTAATAGACAAAATTAGAAAAACTATCATAGTATAAATAGTACAGTGAGCTTTGTCTGATTGCTTATGTAAGGAATTATGTTATCTAGTTTCTCATTTAAAATAGAGACTAACTCATGGTCTGAATTTGAATTTCTATTAAATTTAAGTTGCTACACTGGCAATTAGAAACTGTTAAATCTGTTTTCTGTATTCACAGTATTCTGTATTCATTTTAAAGATTTATTAAATACCTTATAAAAACTATCATATTATTTCCAGCTTTAAAGTTCACCTTTGGTTGGTAAAACATAAAAGTACAAGTTAAAGTTCTGTACCAAAAGGGTAAAGCCATGGCACTGAGTTTTGGAAAACCATCAGCTAGGGGAAATAGAAGATTTCAATTCTATTCCTGTTCCATCACTCTGATGGTGACACTTAACTCATTTTAATGCTTGTGTTCCTTACACATAAACTCACTGAATTAAAACAGATAGTATCTGAAGTCTTTCAGAAACAAAAATACGTTGTCTTTTAAAAAGTGTACAGAGATTACATAAAACAGACACTCTGTTTTTACCAGAGTGAATTCGTGTTTTCAACATTTATATAAACAGGCTCATCTCCCTGACTTATGAAGATGTCTGTCATCTACCTGGATACACCTGCTGGCTCCTACTACAGCCAAATACAAGCTTAAGGAAATGGAGAATTCCTGTGACTCACAATCTTTCATATGGGCTGTTAAGTGTGCCAACTTGGGTGATCTTTCCTTTTGTTTTGTTTTTAAAGAACTATTTGGTAACAGCCTACAGAAACACCAGCTGTCCTCATTTCACCAATGGGTTGTATTCAAATTCAGTTGTAAGCCAGTTATGTGGGATTCGGAGAACAGTTTTATTTACAGTGCCAGTTCAGTCTACTAAGCTTAGCATTTATTAGCAGTATTAAATATTCTTTATATTATGTTCAATCCCCAGATACTACGGTATATACAGAATACATAGCAATACCCTATCAATGCTGAAGATCTCATGAAAGGGGAAAAAACCCTCCTCATATCTCTAAGCCTCTGATGGTGGTTTCAGTGGGACACAGCTGGGGTGAGCGATGAACCATACCGTGAGACAGGGATGGAGCAGTGAAGAGTGTGAAGAACTGTCGCTTCAGATTTTGAGAGAGGCCAAATGCCACAAAAATCATCATCTGTGCATTAAAGACACACTTGGTGATTCAGATTTGGTGATGAAGAGTGTAAAGGTAAACTTCAACAACTAGAGTCATTATTTAAATATGCGACTTTAAAATTATACTCACATTTTTTTAAAAATACAGTATTTAAAATCTTAAAGGTCCTCATTACAAGGAAAAAAAATGATTAGATAGACTTCTTGTGGTGATCACTGCACAACAGACACATATCCTGAATTGTTATGCTGTATCCATGAAACTACTAAAATAGTTCCCAGGTGGCACTCGTGGTAAAGAACCCACCTGCCAATGCAGTGGACATAAGAGACTTGGGTTCGACCCCTGGGTCAGAAAGATCCCCTAGAGGAGGAAATGGCAACCTACTCCAGCATTCATGCCTGGAAAATTCCATGGACAGGAGATCTTGGTGGGCTACAGTCCATGGGGTCACAAGAGTAGAACATGACTGAAGTGACTTAGCATGCACTAAAATGCTGCATGTCAACTATTCCTTAAATAAAAAACAAAAACAAAAAACAGAATATTTAAAGAAATCATTTGAATAACTCCTCCCTTTCTTAGAATCTCCTCAGTAATTAGAGTGAATTCCAAATTAACATGTTTCATTATACAATAAGGCCTCCTGTCGTTTCACATACATCCTAAACTTACCAGCTAAATGGTGAACTCTAGAAGCAGGGATCAATATGGCCTAATGCCATCACTCAGATGCTTGCCAAACTAATGATTGTACACAAAGTGCACCCTAGCATCTTTCTCAATAAATCTCAAGTTTCTTAAGACTCTCTTTTCGTTAAGTAATTGGTCTTCAAACAAGAGTATGATAAGGCTCCCTCCCAACTTTAAACTTACAGAGATACAACTTTTTTCATAACAAATCCTGAGCAAAGACTGTCCTATACCAACAGGCCTCTGAGAGAGGCCTACGGCATCACCAATGCCAAAACTATATACTAGGAATCATCCGAAACCTTACCTACCAACCACCAATGCATCTTTCCCCTTCACTCCTGAGTAACCAAAGGCCAATAATAAGGGTCACCTATTAAATCAACTCATCTCATCACTCACTCAGGGCTCTGTACTCTGTCCTTCTCCAGTTTACTGGCTTCACTGTAACCCAAACTCTGCAGTCCACAACTGAATTATATTTCTTTTCCCCTTTCTGTGTATCCCCCAACCCGGTTAAACTTCTCCTAAGATTCCCTGGTGGCTCAGGCAGTAAAGTACTGCCTACAATGTGGGAGACCCAGGTTTGATCCCTGGGTCGGGAAGATCCTCTGGAGAAGGCAATGGCAACCCACTCCAGTACTCTTGCCTGGAAAATCCCATGGATGGAGGAGCCTGGTGGGCTACTGTCCATGGGTCGCAAAGAGTCAGACACGACTGAGCAACTTCACTTTCACTTTCAAGATGTATTTAGCCACTCAATCTAGAACCTAAGGGTCAATCTAAATTACTCTTCCTTCATATCCTTTAAACAAATGTTATGGATGCTTTTAATAGTTCCTTCACTATTATCACAGTCTCTAGTTTCTACCCAACCCAATTCTATACTCGGTCAAGGTTCTAAATACAATTCTAAAACAGAAAATTTTATGTCACTCTACTAAAACGTCTTTGGCCACCCAACGGTCAAAATGAGAGATGTGCCAACAGCTATGAGCAGCCTCTCTAGTCTTGTCCCCTGACATTTCTACAATTGGCTTCATTTCCACACTTGGCCTTCCCTACCACTCCTTCCCATCAAAACCCATACTTTAACACATACAAGCTATGGACACTTAATTCTCAGTTACTGCTGGAACCATTTTCCATTCTGTTCCTCATTCACTTGGTTCATTTCTATTCTAAGAAAATTCCCCTGTCTCTCTACTCCATTTCAGGCTGAGTTAAACTCTTCTCTCTGTGCTTCAGTAGCTCCCTACCTGTCATAGTTTTGTACCCTGAGTTTTTCCCTTCTAAATAATGGGGAGATAATTCTGTTACTATAGTTTAAACTCAGTTGCTACTACCAAAAGATATGTATTTAAAAATTACAGTCATAACTTTTCATTAGAATACAGAAATGGAATAGTATCTTCACTGGGTCTTTAAGAACATGTTTAAGGTCCTTGAAACAATAGAGTAGGAGATGAGTGCCCAGCTCAGTTAACTGTCATCAGCCTCCACTATTAATTTGTAAAAATCTTTACAGACATTTTTTATTTTTCTGCAATTTGTGTTGCTTTGGTTATAATTTTTTATTAATGTACTGGCTAAAGATTTTTTGCAGCATTTATGTCTTAGGCTTATTTTTAAATATCTTCTGATTACAGCAGGATACCATGAGACACTTTTTTTTTAAGGTAATGAACCTTATGTTTCTTGATTGTGACAGTGGTTATGATATGATTCTAAGCATGCTTCACAACTCACAGAACTGTACACCAAGAAGTGAAAATTCTACTGTATGTAAAATCAATATATTATAATTAAAAATAAACTTTAAAGTATAAAAAAATACATATACATCCTAACAAAACCTTAAAATTAAAAAAAAAAAATGAGCCTAGGTACTAAATAAACAGGGAAAAGAAAACTGAGACTATTTCTTATTATATTTATTACTACTTCCATTATTATTTCCTATTATGCATATGTATTACATTATCTTATTTAATTCAACTCTCATTTTACAAAACATAAGGAAACTAAGGCCAGAGAGGCTAAATAAAATTGAAGGCTACACCCTTCTGTATGCTGTGTGTGACAGCCAGACTTCAACTCCTCTCTAGAAAGCTACAAATTCCATGCTCTTCTCACTATAAAATGATGTTAAGTATTATGAAAACCTAGGAACACCTAATTGAAAAAAAGACCTATGAAAGGACTTACCTTTTAAAAAAATTATTGGCAAGATCAAATAACTACGCATTAAATTGTATACACATTAATGTTTATGCATATTCAAAGACATTAAATACTAAAATAAAACACCACTGAAGTTAAAACATTAAATCAAATGCTTTAAGTAATCCAATAAGAGTAATTTCTTTTTAAATCTATGTTCAAACTGCTTAATATAAGTAATTAGTTTATACATATACTACCTTCTTTTGAGCAGCTTCCTTCTTTTTCTTGTCGTCTTTTTTCTTTTTCTTTTCTTCCATCAACTGTTCTTCTTCTTGCACTAAATCCCTGAACCACACAGTTGCAATTAACTTTCCCAAAATCAATGAATAACAGTAATGTTGCATATAGATTCATATTCACTCTTATTAGAAGATATGGCAAATTAGTTTATCATTCATTAATATAAAACATAACTTAAAACCTCAATCTAAGTATACAGCCACTGAACAGTACTTTTCTTTAGTAAGTCACAAGCAGTAGAGCTTTAATGTTATAGTAAGGAAGATAACTTAAAGTTAGCAAATTTTACATTGGCAGACAAACAACTCCCTCCAATTCTAGAATGTAAACAACATCTCATGAGCAGAGTCATCTTGTTTCAGTAGCTAATGGCAATGCCTGGAACCTCCCCTCCACCCTCTGCAGACCAGTATCTGGCATATTTTCAGCTTTCCTTGCTCTAAAAAACTTGATACATATTTTTCCCCCAAACTTTCAACTTTTTATTTTGTATTGGGGTAGAGGCAATTAACAATGTTGTGACAGTCTCAGGTGAACAGTGAAGGAACTCAGCCACACACATACACTGTATCCATCCTCCCCCAAATTCCCCTCCCAGCCAGGCTGCCACATAACCTGGAGCAGAGTTCCATGTGCTATACAGTAGGTCCTTGTTCGTTACCTATTTTGAATACAGCAATGTGTGCATGACTTTCCCAAACTTCTAACCATCCCTTCCCCTCTGGCAACCATAAGTTCTAAGTCTGTGAGTCGCTTTCTGTTTTCATACCTATTTTTAGAACACAACTTATTCATAAAAAGATGACTTGTATTTTAGCATTATACTAACTTCATATCCTATAAACATTCAAAACTACTCTATCAACACTTGGGAAACAATCCATAATGCACTAATATAAGTTTGTTTCAGTTCTTAAAATCAGAAATGTTCAAATTTGGCAATAGAACTTCCGGCTCAGGATTTCAAGATGAATGGGCAAATGTGTTTGTCTCCTCCTTTCTGCTCTCACTCAACAAAATGATAGGGGAAAAGGTACTAAATCTATTCACAGCTGATGAATGAACAAGAGCAAAGGAAGCTACGATCTAAGAATAAACACAGAGAACGTGTTTAAACACATAAATGGCTGTATGTGCCATCCTCTGGTGCAGCTCCAGAGAGGCTCCAAGATTAGAGCTGGCTCAGCACAAATAGGCATGGAGTAAAGACTGCATAAGGAACAGAAAGGCCCCAACTATTCAACAACTGCCATCCAGTTTGCATTCCCAGATGGCCACGTGGCCGCAGGTAGCAAATGCATTTAAATTCAGCCTGTAACCAAAAAAAAAAACTGAAGTAAAGCCCAACAGTCAACACCCTTCATACCCACAGGGCTCCCCATCAACACTCCTCCAGCCCTTTCAATGTAGGGGGCTACCGGGTAAGGAAATCTACACAAAATTGGAGGAAACATACTCGTTACCTACGTTAATTACTCTAGTGTCTAGAATCTAAATCTTCATTCGTAATATCAATGGACAACCAAAAATCACAAGACACCTAAAGAAAATCAACACACAAAGGAAAAGTACCTAATTCTGCCCTTGAGGAAGATTTCCAGAGGGGTCATTATCAATACCAGGCAGAGACGGTTCAAGGAACAGGAACTAGACACTTGGAAAACTGTAAAATAATTCATTAAGGCTGGAATGCATATGGCAGTGAGGATGCAGCAGAAGGTATGATGAGAAAACACAGACAAATACATAAGAAACTAGAAGGGCTGCTACAGGTACACTAAGACTGAGATTACCCAAAACTTAAGCTGGCTCTGTTGACGGACAAAATTGAGGAGCTGTAGGGAGACGGTGAAAAACGAAGAGTGACATTATGTAAAACTGATGATAATCGAGTAAAGCTAAGCTTACAGCTGCTAAAATCAGAAGCTGGGAGAAAAGGGTGATAACTGTTGCTGTCTTTCATTCCATTTTGTTCAAAGTAGCACTGTCTTGTGGCTGATCAAGCCAAGTGTAACCATGATTCATTCGCTAGCATTCTGGGTCAGGGAGGCAGTGAAAGCGAGCAAGCTTGCACACTATAATCCTAGAAGTCAAGGCCTGAGATAGCTACAGCATAAGAGGAAAAAAAGCATTTTAGTAAACAAAGGCAAATAAATTACATCATTGTCATGTTACTCAACCACAGCTGTTTACTAGCTCTATAGACTTAAACTCTTTCAGCACTAAGAAGAAACAGGATAAATTACCATGTGCATCAGTTTCATCACCTTTTTATCAGGTTTCAGTGAAGAATGCTTTCTTAACACATTTGAGTAAGCACTCAAATGCCTAGTTAGGAACCCTCTCACCAATTCTCAGTGAAAGACTGTATTCATTCAACTTTTAAGATATTTAGGGTCACTTATGCAGAAACATCAGCAGTCGTTAGCATTTGCTCTTTGTGTTTGCCTGTGAATTGTAGACAAGTCCTTGTTCTGTAATTTTACTTTATAGGATGTTCCTTTATTATTTACCTAGAATTTTTTTTTCATCCGTCTCAAACTTCATTTTGAAGACCTTTTGACGACATTAGCAAGTGTTTTGCTGACCAAAAATGACCTCTTTAGTACTTAAAAGATGCACCATTTTTCCTCATGAGACTATTACAGTATCAGTAGACACCCAAAGCATAAGAGAAACAAAAGCTCTTTTCAAAACTGTCATTACAACAAACCCTACTTTCCCCACATCTCCTTCAGAAAGGCAACTGGAAAAAAAATACACACGCACACGCCCACAACCACCTGTGCCCAAAGACTGACTTCCAGAATTTAAATGCTAACAAATTCATTCAACATATGAGTCTATCGTTCACCTTATTTATCAAAAGGAATAAGAGTTGATGGATTTGATAGGTCCACATTGTCCATCATATTTGATATGAGCTCCACAGAGAACAGTCTAGTTAGCAAAATCATTCTCCCCTTAAAAGTTAGCAGCAGGACATCTCAAAATGCAAGTTCCGGGTCTAGCTATAAGAACAAACCTGAGTCATTAGAACATTACAGTGATTATGCTGGGCACATTATGGATATTTTCCCGTTTGTTACTTTTTTTAAATGTTAGGGACAGACTGCCCTCCTATAGATGAAGAAACTGAAGCTCAGAAAGGTTAAGGGACTTGTCCAAGGTCATACAGCTAGTATGGAGTGGAGTCAGGATTCCAATCTAGGTTCTCAAAGCCATGGTCTTCCCTTTCCCCTACACCCTAGTACTTCTCAAAGTCAAGGACCAGCTCTCTTTTCAGAAGCGACAGAGAATAAAACCTTTTCTTTCAAATGGGTTAAGTGAGAGGTCTCACTTTTTTCCTCAGACTGTGTGCATACACAATTCTTTTATTTCCCTCCACCTTTTGTAAGAACACTTGAAAAAAGAATGTATTGGGTTGGCCAAAAAGTTCCTTCAGTTTTTAAGCAAAAGACACATTTTTCATTTCACCAAGAATTTTACTGACCAGTGTATTTACTATTTTGTTCCACTATCTTCTGCCGTTTTTCAAGGCAACTTCATAATCCCATCTTCCCAAAACTTTTCTTCTTTTTGAGCAAAGAACTGTTCCAGGTGCCTTTTACAGTCTTCCAGGGAAGTGAAATTTTTTTCATAAAGAGAATTTTGTAACGACCAAAATAAAAGGAACCTGAAGATGCAATGTCTGGTGAATATGGCAGATGAGTCAGAACTTTCCAGCCAGGTTGTATCTGGTAATCGAAGAAACACGTGGTCCTGTGCTATCCTAATGGAAGATTATGAGTCTTCTGTTGACTAATTCTGCACACTTTTTGTCAAAAGCTCCTTTCAGCTAGTCTAACTGGGAGCAGTTAGGCTTCCCTGGGGGCTCAGAGACAAAAAATCTGCCGGCCAGTGCAGGAGGTGCAGGTTCGATCCCTGGGTTGGAAAGAGTCCCTGAAGGAAATGACCACCAGCTCCAGTATTCTTGCCTGGAAGATCCCACGGACAGGACAGAGGAACCTGGCGGGCAACCTTCCATAAAGTTGCAAGAGAGACATGACTCAACGACTAAAACAACAACTGGGAGCAGCACCTGCTGGAATTAATTGCTTGGTTTTCCGAAAGGAGCTCATAATAGAGGACTCCTTTCCAATCCCACCATAAACAAATCACCTTCTCTGGATGAAGACCAGCCTTTGGTGTGGCTGGTGGTGGTTCATTTTGCTTACCCAATGATCTCTTCTATTCCACATTATTGTACAGTATCCACTTTTCATCACCCACCACAATTTCTTTTAAAAACAGGACATTTTCATTACGTCTAAGTAGAGAACTGCACGCAGAAACATGGTCAAGGTTTTTTTTCGCTTAACTTGTGTAGAATCCAAACATCAAAGTGATTAACACAGTCAAGGTGGTGTGAATGATTTTCGACACATGATTTTCGACACTTGATTTGGATATTTTGAGTACACTGGTTATCTCCCACATGGCATAGCATTGATTGTTCTCAATGTCTTGACTTGATCACTATCAACTTCAATCAGTACTGGAGGGTGGAGCAGCATCCAGTGACAAATTTCCAGCATGAGAAACTTTACAGACCACTCTTGATACATTAGATCAATCACAGCACCTTCTCTATGCACCGCACAAATCTTTTCGCATTTCAGTTTTTTACCTTTCTTGAAATAATAAACTATAATATGCTAAAAGCACTGCATTTTTCTTCCATCTTCAATATTAAAATGCCTACACAAAACTCACCAATGTTGCTAAGTCTTTCTTTTTTTAAATGCACACTGATAGGACAGCTGTCATAACAGACTCTTACAGAACTGTGTCCAACGAAGTTAAAGACAACTAGGAACTACTAGAATCACTGTATAGGAAACTGAACTAAGTTTCTGGTCAACCCCATACTACAGGAAATTCAAAGTACTGGAGTTCCAAACACCATGCAAGTATAATCAGGAGTAAGAACAGCAAAAGAGTCAATGACAAAGACTGAACAGCCACCGGTTTTAACAAGAGGGGACCAAGCACTGGTGATACTTAGGACAGCAATTCTAGTTATTTTTTATTTTGTGAATGTTTGTGGGAGGGCAATGTGGGATAAACTAGTGAAGAACTAAAAGGTCCATGTTTGAGGAGTTCAAGTTGTTTTTTTTTTTTTAAGAGAGAGAAACACGAAGGTAGCTAAAAAACTTTCAGAAGTGAGCAATAACGCTTGTCCAAAAAAAAAAAAAAAAAAAAATTCATGAAAAACTCAAGGTGCCTGACAGTACAAGAGAGGCTATGTGTTCATATTCACCTGCATGTGTATAAAATGACTCTAAAAGAACACCTAAGACACTAATAGTAACTGGGGGAGGCGGCAGAAGGAACTAGGCATATGGGGGAAGGGAGAGCTCAACGTATAAACCTTTTCATTCAATTTAAGTTTCTCAGCCATGTGAGTAAGTATTCAAAAACTTAAATATTAAAAGTTTTCCAGTATTAATATTAAATTTCAGTATTTAAACAGTAAAAGGCTGTTCTCTGTTTCTGGTTTGCTGGGAGATCCAGTCATGAGTGCATGCTATATTCTGTTAAAATTCTTTTCTGTCTCTACTGAAATGGTTATAGAATTTCTGACTTTTGATCACTGATATGATTAACTCTGTTGATGGATCTTCTAGTACTGAACCAAGCTTTGCGTTTCCTAGTATAAAGCCAACTCAATACTTTTTTCCCAAAATAAATTGCTGGGTTTTCTTTCTAATAAAGGCAAAAAAAACTATACTAATTTCATTGGTAAAAATGATCAGGGGTAATAATATTTAGTGCTGGCAAAAATGAAAAATTACGAGGTTCTCTCTTATATTAATGGCAGAAATTACTATAACCTTTTGCAGAGTACTGTGGTAACAGTTTTAATAATTAGAGTTACATATAATCTGGGACTTCCCCAATGGTCCTTCCAGTGGTTAAGAATTCGAGCTTTCATTGTAGGAGGCACGGTTCAATCCCCAGCTGGGGAAGTAAGATCCTCCATGCCATGGGGTACAGCCAATAAACAAATAAAGTCACACATAATCTAACCAGCCATCCCATGCTTCAGAATGTATCTTACAGTAATAAAGCACTAGTACACAAGGCCATATGCATATGAGCGGAAAACTGAAATGTCCATCAGTAAAGAAATAATAGCATAGCACATTGCACTGAAAATAACTTGACCTGTTTGTTGATCTGAAGGAATGTCCCTAACATTGTTAAATGAAAAAAAGCAATTTGTAAAACTGTGAACAGTGTTAGCTCATATTTTTTAAAAGTTGTCTCTTTTTGTATACCCCCCTGAACTAGGAACATCAAAGGTACCTCAAAACTGAACCAACTATTTACAGGAATTGTTAAGTTTTTTAAAAAGAAAACCCCTATTTAAAATATTATGGTAAACATGCACTATTTTTGTAAATTAGTACCAAAAATGAATGCCTTTAAAACCACCATGTCTAGGACTTGCTTTCACTACTCTAGGCTGCACTCCATCCTCCCAAAAACAGGAAAAGAGAAAAAAATGAAACAAGATTGACAAAATGTTGACAACTGCGGAAACTGGGTAATGGGTAAAAAAAGCTTTTTATTCTGTTCTATTTCTGCGTATGTTTGAAATTTTCCATAATAAAAGATAAAAACAATCACAAGTCTCCACTCAAATGAGTAAGGCAGCAAGGTGTGAGATTAGAGACAGATAAAAGGAGATGAGCCTGTGAACCAAGAATCTTGGGAAGACAAAGGGCAAGACAAGTGTCCTTAATGGTAGCAAGTCTGGATCCAGAAGGCCCTTCCTGGACCTGCTCTTCCCGATTCTTCATTGTCAGCTTTCCCTTCATTCCCAACATGAATATCATTCAAAGCAATCACTTCCAAAGGATACTCCTGTAAACTGCTGTTGGACATGAACTAGCAAGGACCTCTGATGAACAACTTGGAAGTATCTGTTAACAGTGAATTTTTAAATGTCACTAATCAATTTCAATCGAAGCCTCTACAAAAGAAAATGTACAAAAATAGATACTGCAAAATAATAGACTAAAAACCAATCAACAGGGCAAAGCTAAACCATAATATACTCACACCATGAAATATTACACACTAGTTAGTTTGGTTTTTTTTTAAAAGGAGGGGAGGTACAGATTTCCATGGTGTGCAGGAAAAAGTTCTTATTAGCACAGCATGTTGAGACCACGATCCTGAGAAAGGACTGCAAGACTGGCCCCTGACTGGGGTCAAGGTACTTGGATTTCAGGGAGGTTCCCACCAATCCCAAATTAATATACAAGCAACATAGGTCTGCTAAAAGCCTACTTTGTTTTTGGCGGTTGGGAATTCTGGTACGTGTTAGGCAGAAGGTACCTACATTGTTGTGCAGTATTGTTGCTCAGTCATCAGTCATGTCTGACTCTTTGCAACCCCATGGACTTTTTTTAGGGGCTGGCTGTACATAGTAACTACATAATCAGCCGCTAAAAAACAAACAAACAAACAAAACAAACAAAACCCCTCTGCACTGAATTTCTAATGAGCTTTCCTGGTAGACACTTAACACATGTTGTCATAATTTGATGCTAGAGAAATTAAGCACATTCTGTGTGACATCACAGGGACAGAAATCTTGGAAGCCGGCTCCTAGTTTCCTTCAGATTTTGACCATCGTGCCTTTTCCCTTTACGGATTTTGTTTTTTATACTTTCATTCTTATGATTCACAGCCATGAGAATAATTATATGCTGAATCCTGTGAGCCCTCCTAGTGAATTGTTAAAACTGAAGGTGACATTGGGGATCCCCCAACAAACATGGCTTTATAGAAAAGATCTCTAAGACACACTGCTGAGTTGAAAAAAAAGGTCAAGGTCCAGTTCAGTGTATATCATTTGTTAGAAAATCAAAAAGAAAATCCCATTTTTAAAAGTGCATATCCACAGCATAGCAAAGAAGCAGACCCTCAAGATACCTGGATGATCTGACTCACTGCATCCAAAATTATTTAATAACAACCCACACAATGTTTAATCAATAAATCAGTAAGGATGTGCTTGGGGATTCCTATAAGTCAAGCGGTCTGCTTTGTACTAGAACTCTAGTAGAATTCATTGTTTTAAACTATAATTTTGTAGGAACAACAAATGAACACACCTGAAATACGGAAACAAGAAATCATCCGGTAGAGGCTACAAGCAAGTTTAGGAAAACAAGACATGCGTATGAACTGTTACAGCTAAGGAAAGCTTCAGGGAGAAGTAAAAAGTTGATCTGGGACTTAAAAAAGAGTCAGGATTTCTACAGAGACAGAGAGGAAAAAAGAGTCAGGATTTCTACAGAGACAGAGAGGGGCTTTTTTCAGGCAAGCAGCACAAAACGGCATGGACACAGCGAAGTACGGAGACCTACCAGCGAGGCAGTATCCAGAGCCAGTGCTGACTGGGACAGAAAAAGGGAGAAAAAGCGCTGGGTAGAAGCAGGACACAAACCTGCAGACAGGGTGAGAAGACTGCGGCATAATCCACGTGGAAGTGCAGTGTCCCGAACCCTGATGGGGGCAAGTGGAAATGAAAAGCAAAGAAGAAATCCAAGGTAATCACAAGAGATTGAAACAGTTGACAATATCAGTAAGATCTGAAAAAAGAGAGACAGGTTAATGACAACTCCAGATTGTAGAAAGCAAAAATTTCTAAACAGAAGCTCTGCTATTAGAAATGATAATAGAGAAGTGATAAAAAGTGAAAGTCACTCAGTCACGTCCCGATTCTGCGACCCCATGGATATACAGTACATGGAACTCTCCAGGTCAGAATACTGGAGTGGGTAGCCTTTCCCTTCTTCAGGGGATCTTCCCAACCCAGGGATCAAATCCAGGTCTCCCGTATTGC